TAGCATGTCTAGGCTATGAAATACATGTACTTTTCATATAACATCAACTAATTTTTTTTTGTTTTTCATCATAAGAAAGCCAGCTATGTTATGTGTTTATTATGATTAAAAAGTCCACGTTTAATTATGTATTCTGAAAGTCTTAAATGTCAAATGGTTGTGGTTAATACACCATTGAATGATATATATGGTAAAAGTTGCTTACATAAGATAAAATAAAAAACAAAAAGTGACTATAAATCACTGTAATCCACGAATAACTTAAAAAACTGAAACAATATAACCTAATTGTCCTATTCTATATGTCATATGTGATACATAAATTATATTTTTATTAACTGTACCGTAAAAGTTAATTACTCTACTGAGTGTATACATTAATTACAACGATTAAACTAATAAATCTTTATTAAGATTTACGACATTTAATGACAAAAAGGTGAGGTTGGTCTGGCAGTGTTTTTGATGAAAATATAAAACAAATAAAATTGTTTGGACAACTTACAATATACATGTATAATGATCGAGTTTTCTGTTAAAAAAGTACGTAAGCACAACACGCTTTTGTAGTCAAATGTTAATTTATACATTACTTCATAATTATTATATTGTATATAAGTTATATCAGTTAAATATTTTGGAAGTGTTTATTTTAAAGTGACATTATGTCCACCTGATGTAAACAATTGAAAGTCAAGATAAGTCTACATTTTGCCATAACTACTTTCAGTTTTATAACTTACTTTGAATTTACGACATATTACTCACATAGCTCAAGATATCAATCAGAATTCAACTGTAACGTTTTATTATAAAAAGAGTGGGGCAGTCTTTTTAAATTTGAGACAGATTAATATTTTATTCTACACATTTTTAAATACCACCTTTTGGTCAATCACCATTATATCAGTCAATCTTCAGAAATATATAGTCAATTAAGCACAATTTGACAATGGAAAAATGAGCATAATGTCACTTTAAGCGGTGCACGTTATAAAGGGCGTGTTGGATAGCCATTTAAATACTAATGATCAATCCTCCAGCTTTGAAAACTAACAAGCTGATAAACAATTTGCTCGTGAATAGAATATATTAGCTAAAACATGATTGATGGAAACCTAAAAAAAAGTTTAAAAAAATAAAATTCAAAACACACAAAAAATACAGCAAAACACGACTTTTCCTGATTAGGGACATTTGTCAAATCTTCTTTGTAAAGCTTAATAAAAATCAAATAGTTTACAAATTACGCGAAAAGAGTGTTAAATGTCTCTTAATTTGATGCTAATCAAAGAAAAAGAAGTAGAATATATCATTTTACACATCATGTGTACAGTGTAACTTTCTGCGACAAGAATATAACGCTATAATAAAGATTCATTTCAAAAACATATGAAGTATCTTAAAGCTAAAAATGTAGCACGGTTACAAACTCACCACTCATCCAGTAACCAAGTATTAAATATGTAAATAATGTGAACATGTACATCTAAAACAGTTTGGCGGTATTCATTTTGTTTGTTTGACGATTTCCATTTATCGACTGAAAATACCTCGCATCGTAATTGTGTATAAGAATTATTGTGTAAGTTTGAACATGTATGCTGTACATACAAATAACAAATAACATACTATGCATTGCATGTTTGAACAACTTAATGCAAGGGTACGAGGGTACACAATTTGCTGGTGTGATTGTGTTATTATGTGGCTACACAATCTGCTGTTGTAAATGTATTATTGTGTCGGTACACAGTCTATTCGTGTGAATGTGTTATTGTGTGCGTACACAGTATTGTGGTGTGAATGTGTAATTGTATGGGTACACAGTCTACTGGTATGAATGTGTTATTGTGTGGGTTCACAGTCTACTTGTAAAAATGAGTTATTGTGCGGGCACACAGTCTACTGGTATACATGTGTTATTGTGTGGGTACACAGTCTGCTGGTATAAATGTGTTATTGTGTGGGTACACAGTCTAGCTGCTGGTATAAATGTGTTATTGTGTGGGTAAACAGTCTACTGGTATAAATGTGTTATTGTGTGGGTACACAGTCTACTGGTATAAATGTGTAATTGTGTTGGTACACAGTCTACTTGTATAAATGTGTTATTGTGTGGGTACACAGTCTGCTGGTATAAATGTGTTATTGTGTGGGTTCACAGTCTGCTGGTATAATGTGTTATTGTGTGGGTACACAGTCTAGCTGCTGGTATAAATGTGTTATTGTGTGGGTACACAGTCTACTGGTATTAATGTGTTATTGTGTGGGTACACACTCTGCTGGTATTAATGTGTTATTGTGTGGGTACACAGTCTGCTGGTATAAATGTGTTATTGTGTGGGTATACAGTCTGCTGGTATAAATGTGTTATTGTGTGGGTACACAGTCTGCTGGTATAAATGTGTTATTGTGTGGGTAAACAGTCTACTGGTATAAATGTGTTACTGTGTGGGTACACAGTCTACTGGTATAAATGTGTTATTGTGTGGGTACACAGTCTGCTGGTACAAATGTGTTATTGTGTGGGTACACAGTCTACGGGTATAAATGTGTTATTGTGTGGGTACACAGTCTGCTGGTATAAATGTGTTATTGTGTGGGTACACAGTCTGCTGGTGTGAACGGGTTATTGTTGAGTTACCATGTCTGCTGCATTGAATATGATAGTGTGTGGGTTCAGAGTCTACTGGCTTAAATATTTTATTGTGTTGGTACACATTCAGCTGATGTGAATGTGTTATTCTGTGGGTACACTGTCAGCTGGTATGAATAGTTATTGTGTGGGTACACAGTGTGCTAATGTGAATGGGATATTGGTTGGGTTCACAGTCTGCTGATGTGAGTGTGTTATTATGTGTCTCCACAGTGTTCTGATGTGCATGTGTTATTGTGTGGGTGCACAGTGTTCTGATGTGAATGTGTTATTGTGTGTCTGCACAGTCTGCTGATGTTAATGTGTTATTGTGCGGCTGCACAGTGTTTTGATGTGAATGTGTTATTGTGTGGCTGCACAATGTTCTGATGTGAATTTGTTATTGTGTGGCTGCACAGTGTTTTGATGTGAATGTGTTATTGTGTGGATGCACAGTCTGTTGATGGGAATGTGTTATTGTGTGGTTGCACAGTGTTCTGACGTGAATGTGTTATTGTGCTGCCGATGGGAATGTGTTTTTGTGTGACTGCACAGTGTTCTTATGTGAATGTGTTATTGTGTGGGTGCACAGTCTGCTGATGTGAATGTGTTATTGTGTGGCTGCACAGTGTTCTGATGTGAATGGGTTATTGTGTGTCTGCACAGTCCGCTGATTGGAATGGGTTATTGTGTGGCTGCACAGTGTTCTTATGTGAATGTGTTATTATGTGGGTGCACAGTCTGCTGATGGGAATGTGTTATTGTGTGGCTGCACAGTGTTCTGATGTGAATGTGTTATTGGGAATAGTTTATTGTGTGGGTACACAGTCTGCTGTTGTAAAAGGGTTATTGTGTGGGTACACATACTTTTTGTGAGTACACATTTTTGTGTGGATACACATTGCTTGTTTGAAAAAAAAATCATTGTTAGTGTACACAAGATTTCAATATGATTGTTTTAGATTTATTCACTGCCAATGTTTCCGAATATTTATGTTACTTTTATATATGTGAGAATGTAACCGTTCCACGTTGATATTTTATGTTTATGTAATGTGTCGTCGCAAGCTGTCGTAATTTTGGAAATATGGGTTTTCCGTATTGACAGATACTAATGAAAAAAGTAATCAATATCATTGATGTCAATAAAAAACAGCAAATATTTATATATGTTATCGCCATCTGTAATATGATGTTGATATACATTGTTGAGTACAATACTTATTCTATTGGACGGGTGGGCAGCTTTGAAAACTATATCGGACGGGTACAATATTGATTTGATATGGAACTATTGAATTCGGATAATGAAAACAGGTCAGATAGAGTACAATATGGGTTTGATATGGATGTTTTGAAATCAGAAAATGAATAAGAGGTTAGATGGACTACAATATGCATTTGTTACGGTTTTTGGACTCCGTGGGGTGCGGGGGGCTACTTGATTAGATCCATTAATTAATTTTCATCACGTGGTCGTTGCAATTCCTTGAAGTTCATTGGAAGGTAATAAGGTGGGAAATAAGTATTGCTGATAATGCATTTTATAATTGTTACATGTATACAGACGTTATGTTGATATTTGTGTTCATACAACGCTTATACAAAATTAATTAAGACATACTTATATTACCTGTTTTAAGACTGTAACTTTATGATGCTTATACTGTTTGAAAAATATGCATTATAACATTTAATTTTTAACTGGTTTATTATCATAATAATTATATCTGAATCTTAAACTATAATAAATATCTAAAATATGTATGTAAATAATATCTTAAACCGAATTTTTTATTAGTTTGTTTTAACCTTGTATGACGAAACATTTATGCAATGTGTCTATTTTTGTTGTTGAGATTTTACAATCAACATTATAACTATCACTGGTTCGGACACAGGTCATGGTGTATTTTAGCTAGGTTTTATTGTGTGAAAATGAATGATAATGTGCAGTGTATATTATGACAATTAAATACATTTTACGTCACTTAAAAAATAAAAAACGCTAATGTTACTTCGTATCACATGCTTTGTTGGCTACAATAAACGCAAATAGTCTACTTTTTGTCTTTGCGATTCGTTTTGCTTTCGTTTGCCTTGTCAATGAATAAAATTTAGTTTTGTCTATTTTAAAACTAAACGTGCATCAAAAAAGTGCATTAAATAAGCTGCTTGTTTAAGTGATATAATATTCTCCAAAAGATATGTTAGACCCTAGGCTATTAATTAGTTTGTATGTTTTGACATTTTTTGCATTTATAAATTTGCAACATCTTCATATAGAATTGTATCTAAGATTAATTAAAATATTTTTCTTTATTTATAGATAAAACGATGCAATAATGTATAGAAACCATACCTTTGTAATAATTCCTACAGTACTCAATTCAGAAACTGAAACAAATGATCGTCATATAAAGTAATTAGTAGATTAAAAAATACAATAAGTCATGTGTCATGCCTATCACATATATACTCCTTCCGGCGATTTCACGGAGATCGTCTGCTCGTCTCGCGCTATGACTTTTTACGGCAAATGACGTAAAAGTGTCATCTTATGAAACAAACCTTTTTGTTTATTTGCATTAAAAATCAACACGAATAATAATCAAATGGTTATTGTGTCTTTGATATGAATAAAATAATCACTTTAAACAATAGTGTACTTCGACCTTCTCAGGTTAATGTTGATGAATATTTACATACGACTTTTTTGTGATTGGGTGTTGATTATCCTTATATCAGTGCAATCTGTTATATGAAAGAAAACATATATTCCACATCAAATGCCGCAATTTTATAATTGGCCGCAAAATGTTGTAATTTTAATTGTAAAACGATTGTTTGTATGCGTTTTTAACCGCATATACATGTATACATTCTGATAATTTGATGTAACGTTTTCACAAAAGGTAGGGTTTTTTCTCTGAAGTAAATATTAAGACCGTCTCACACAGAACAATGTTGGGCACACGGTTGCCATACGGTTTACTCGGTTTACACGGGTTGACTGGTACGAGTATTGAGCTCCAATCGTGCCTACGAGTTACAAATGTAGATTCGAATATAGCACGAGTATATACGAATAAAGCACGGATATACTCGATCAAAGTTTGGACACGATTTGCATACGAATACATACGATTGTTGTACGGTTCCAAGTACGGTCTAGTACGGTTTGGTACGATAAACACGACTTTTACTCGATTTACTCGACTTTCACTGGGTTAACATAGGGTCCCGCTGACTTTTGTTCGATTTATGCTCGAATTACGACACATTCTTGTATGTTTTGATATAAATTTACCCAAGCTTGGCTTCATAAAGTGTCGAACTTTCTTAAAATGTACCTTTTTTCTTGGGTGCAGCGGTTGCTGGAGGGCCCACCAAGCTGGTATCCGACTCACACACTCTGGGAGACATTGGTATCTCTTCAGATAGTGCTGTTGGGTCATCTTGCTCATCAGGATCGGCAAGGTCAGCAGGTTGGAGTGGTCGGTGGGCCTGGGTGGCCCTTCTTCTATTCCTTCTGTGCGGACGAACCTTATTCTTTGGATGCATTCTAGTGTGATGCAGCAAGTATTCTGGGTAGATCTAGCAGTTGAGGGTGGCTGTGGGTAGTTGTGGTTTTAGTTCGTACTTGAGGTCGGGTAAGAACGTACGTGGCTGTTAAGACCGTGTATATCGGTACTGTACCTTGTCTGAACCGTATTGGTCCTATGGCGATCGTATTAAACCATCTGTGCACTCGTGTGAATCGTATCGTGATCATGTGACATTTGGGTGTTACTCATGTGTTGTATGTAGGACTCGAACGATTTCATACGATTAATATACGATCTTGACACGGTTGGGCTAACTCGTGGAGTGGACTTCAAATACGGTTGTAAATACGGTCTCATACGGTCTCACACGGTCTTGCACGGTCGTTTATACGATCATACACGGACGTGACATCCGCGCCAGTTTTTTAAAAGTTTTAAAAATCATACACGGCTTACACGGAAACCCTCGAATGGCCCGAGTGTAACTCGAATAACACCACGGTTGGTTCGGTTGTATGTACGGTTTACACTAGTGGCCAATCGTATAAGCCGAGACGGGCTTAAGCTTTAGCACGTGTAAGAGACATAAGTTCACACGTGTTAACGGATATAACTACACACGTGTAATAGATATCAATATAGGCCTAAGTGTGTAACATGTATAGTTACTACCGCATACCAGATAACACATTTATAAGATATATTTACCAAAGTATAAACATAAATAAATACACACGTTTAACAGATTTAAGTGCATACAGTAACTGATATAAGTACACGAGTGTAGCACATGTATGTACACATATAAATAGACACGTGTTACATAAATAAGTATATACCTATAACATATTTATGTACACGCGTGTAACATATTTCAGTTCACACGTGTAACAGATAGAAGAACACACGTGTATCTGATATAAGAACACAACACGTGCAACATGTGTAAGTACACACGTGTGATCCACATGTAAGATATAGAAGTACGTACGTGTCATAATCAATAGACACCTGAACGATAAATAGATGTACAAATAAAAATAACTGTTAATTACCACATGAATCTTGAACTCGGACCTCAAAAAAAATGATGTTCATATTTATAGTGTTACAAGTTGTTCGTGACTAGAATAAACTATTTTAAACAAGATTGATAAGGAATAAAACCGAGAAATTCGTCTGATTTATGACGTTTGTTAAAATCCTTTGTTGTAAACGTTGATAAAAAAAGGCGATATAACGTGAAAATATTTTATTTTTCTTTTGTGTTGACGTATATAAAACGGTGGCTCCTTCACATTTTGGTGATGCCCTCGACATTTCCTTTGTAGAGGCCTCGATCACAAATGATAAAAGGGTTAACATATTTTGTAATATTTTCCGTTTTTTAAGTATGTTTGTTGTTTTTTTTTTTAATTTGAAGAATGTTATGCAACGTAAAATAGTTTTCGCATCATTTTGGATACAATTTTAATACTAAATACCCAAAAATATTGCTATAAAAAATCACAGTCACTGGTTGCTATGGAAAGTATAAGGTTGCTTCGGAAGTCACAGGTCGCTAAAAATCTCAATGTTGGTTGTTAAAGAAAGTCAGTGTAGCTAATGGTGACTATGGAAATCACTGGTTGCTAAGGAAATACCACGATGCTTTAGAATTAAATGGTTGCTATTGAAGTAAGTTGTTACTAAGGAAAGTCGATGGTTGTTATGGAAGGTCTGGAAGGGAATAACTCCATTACTCGTGCATAAAATTGCTGCTTGTATGAGGCCGTCATTACCGTAAATTAACTGCTGATTGATTCCTAGTTATTCCACTTTATCCTTGGTGATTCGTAATTAATCTGTACAACATCACCAACCCAAACTCCTGTTGTTCTGTGGTACTGAGGTCGTGACGTAAGATATTCATGACGCCATCGTAAACGATAATTACTGATCAGTTGCCCTTTTTGTTGTGTCAGACATTGCAACAGTCTATGGTTCTGGTGTTTTGCCTCCATATGGAAGGGATGTAACACGTTTTCCATAGAGCAAGTACGCCTGGGTTCATGGGTCCGCGTCTCCTATATCGGAAGTGACGTAAGTAAGCGGTCTGTCGTTCATTATACCCACAATCTCTAGTACTATTGTCTGGAGGCTCTCGTAACTGATAACTGAACACCTTCTTGATGATGGTTTTTGTTAGTCCAATCAGTCGCTCCCACCAACCGCCAAACTATGGTGCTCGCTTAGGTATGAATCTCCAATCAGTACCATGGTTGTGTAGAGCGTCATTTTCTGCCGTTGATCTCATGAGTTGTTGAATGGTATTTGCTGCTGCGTTGAATGTTTTTTGAGTTTTCTGATATCATTATGTGGAGTTTGGATTTTCGACTTGTAAATCTTCTGGACGCTTTCATCTGAAAGGTTTTATCTGATAAATCTGGTACCAACTCGAAATTGGCAGCTTTTGTTGAAGTGCGCGAAAATAAACAAATATAGTCCTTATACTCTTGAATTGCTTCGTACAAACTATGCTCGTCTGCTATCTGTGTGACTTTCATAGTAACAAGTGACTTCCTTAGCAGCCAGTGACTTTCATAGCACCAAGTAACATTCATAGCAACTATTGCATTTCCTAAGCAAAATGAAACTTCCATTATAACCATCGACTTTCTTTAGTAGCAAATGACTTCAAAAGCAACCATTTAATTCTAAAGCAACTGTGGATTTCCTTAGCAACTAGTGATTTTCATAGTTACCATTATTTTCATTGTCTTACCCTAACGACAAGTGTCTTCCATAGTGACATTGACATTTTAGCGACCAGTGACTTCAAAGCAACCAGTGATTTCAAAAGCATCCGTTGATTTTTATAGCAATAATTGACATTTCGTAGCAACCAGTGACTATAGTAGGTATTCATTTTCCATAGTAATCTTTGACTCTTCTTATCAACCAGTGACTATCCATTACAATCATTCAATACCGATAGCAACCATTGATTCCCTTAGCACTCAGTGACTATCCATATCAACTAGTGACTTCCAAATAAACCAATGAATAAGTTAGCAACCATTTACTTCCAAAGCCACAAGTGAGTGACTTTTATAGCAACCATTGAACGTTTAAGGCAACCAGTGATTTTCATAGTAAGAATTGACTACCTTAGCAACCAGTGACTTCCATACCATTTACTTTTATAACAACCATTTCTTCATACCCATTATTTCATTGATTTGCATGGTAACAAGTTACTTCTTTACCAATCAATGACCTCCATCGCAACCATTTATTTTCATAACAACGATATTTTTGGGTATTTCGTATCAAAATTGTATACAAAATGATGAGAAAACTATTCTACGTGGCATGACATTTTTTTAATATACACGGAAAATATAACAAAATATGTTAACCCTTTTATCGTTTTGTTTTGATCGAGGCCTCTACAAAGGGATTGTAGAGGGCTTCACCAAAATCCGAAAGAGCTACCGTTATGTAGGGATGTGAAAAGTTTGAATACATCTCCTTTTCATTAATGAATTATCAGTTCACAAAAGATTGGTTAAAATATTTTACCGTGATCGTCTTAAATTATCAAATTTTAACAAGCGTCATAAATCAGACGAATTTCTCGGTTTTATTCTGTATCAATCATGTTTAAACTAGTTTATTCTAGTCACGAACAAATTGCAACACTAAACATTTTTCGGGTCCGAGTTCATGATTCATGTGGCAATAAAAATTTATTTTCATTATCGTACATGTGGCTCTTGATTGTGACACGTACATACCTTTATCTGTAACACGTGGTACACGAGTGTACCTATATCTGTTACATATTTGTGCACACATCTGTTACACATGTGTTCTTATATATGATAAACGTGCGTTCTTCTATCTGTTACACGTGTGTACTTAAATATGTTACACGCATGAACAAAAAAATATGTTATGGGTATGTACATATATGTAACGCATGGTTACTTATATATGGAACTTTTGAACATAGATAAGCTACACCCGTGTACTTATATAAGTTCCACGTATGTTCTTAAATCTGTTACACGCGTGTTAAGATTACACGTTACAGGTACTTATATATGTTACACGTGTGTACTTATTGATGTTTACACGTTGGTAAATACATCTTATAAACGTGTTATCTGGTATACGCGTTCAACTATACATGCATCACACTTAGGCGTATATTTATATTTATTAACTTTATAGAAAAAATCATTCATTTTGTGAAACCGCTACATCAAATTCTCGGAATGTATATGCGGTTACTTTTTGCTTACAGACAATCGTTTTACACTTAAAATTTTAACAATTTGTGGCCACATATAAATATGCGGCATTTGATGTGGAATAAATGTTTTCTTTCATATAACTGATTGCAATGATATAAGAATTAACCAACACCCAATCACAAAAAATTGTATGTAAATATTCATCAACATTAACCTGAGAAGGTCGAAGTAAACTATTGTTTAAAATGATTATTTTATTCACATCAAAGACATAATAATAATTTAATGCAAGTAAACAAAAAGATTTCGCAAGATAACACTTAAATTACGTCATTTGCTGCGCGAGACGAGCAGACAATCACCATGGAGTATATATGTGATAAGGCATGATGTCAAAATCTTTATTGTATTTTTAATCTACTAATTACTTTATAAAAATCATTTGTTTCGGTTTTCTAATTGAGTACAGTAGGAATTATTATAAAGGTATTGTTTCATACATTATTGCAGCGTTTTATCTAAAAATAAAGAATATATATTTTAATTACTCTTACTTACAACTCTATATGAAAATATTGCAAATTTATAAATAAATGCTAAAATTGTCAAAACATGCAAACGAATTAATGGCATGGGATCAAACATATTTTTGGAGGAAAATTTATCAGCAGCTTATTTAATATTTCATAAATGCACTATAATAATGCACAATTTAATTTTGAAATAGGCAAAACTGAAATTTTCTTCATGAAAAATTGCAAACAAAGGCAAAAGGAATGGCAAAAGCAAACAGTAGTACGTTTGTTGTAGAAAGCAAAGCATCTAATTGTAAAAAGGCAAAACTGAATTTTATTCAAGGCACACAATAGCAAAAAAGAATTGCAAAGTCAAAAAGTAGTGCGTTTATTGTAGCAAGCAAAGCATATAATATGAAGTAACATTTCATTTTTAAGTGACGCAAAATGTTTTAAATTGTCATAATGAAAACTATACATTATCATTCGTTTCCACACAAAACCTAGCTGAAATACACTATGACCTGTGTCCGAACCAGTGATAGTAATAATGGTGATATAGTAAAAGATCAACAAATATAGGTACAGTGCTGTGATATTCGCAAACTTATGATATAAGATTCGTCCTATAAGGTTGAATAAAACTTCCAGAAAAAAAATCAAACTCTTCAGCATGTATCAAACACTTCAGCATATTTCTTACTCCATGAGGAGTCTCTTACTTCGCTTTTTGCAATCCTTCAGACATGGGCCGAAATAGATTTTTAGGTATGACCCTAATAATGGGGACTATGACGAACTGAAAAATTGACAACATAGGTCAGTTATATGCCCTAAACGACACCTGTATGCAACATTTAAACAAAATTTACCACACTGTTCACTTGTCTGAACTAAAGCTTAGGTTTTAGAACTGCTTTTTTCAGAAATCAGGAAACTCTAAATAATTTTTAATATCATCCTCATAAATAATGTTTCCTTTTGATCATTGGTAAGAAACAAATTATAGCATTCATATAACTGAACAAATTACACAAGCAAAATAATTTGAAACATGTATAATTTAGATTTTGCCCTACCCCAACAATTTTCATAACTTGTTTGACCATTTTCCTACTAATAGAGCCTAGTTATCCAAAGTTAACCAAAATGAGGGTTCTGTTTTCAAAGTTTGCTTAAATTTTCTCAAAAATATATTTATTTTGTTCGATCTTGTCAAATATGAGATACTTTTAACGTGTAGTTTTGATTTTATTAGACTTTGAACATGACAGAGGTAGCACATTTATTAATAACCCTAGCAATATTTAGCAAAACCTACCTAAAATTATTATAGAGTGAGCAAAATTATACACTTGTTTTCTTTTTTAATTAATATTTTTTTCAATTTTTTTTTTACCCCTTTGGGCTTTGAACCAACGGCCCTCAGTGTCAGTATTGACAGTTATTTTAGCCTATTCAGTACTCTTCAACGCGGAGTTAATGCATTTTTTAAGGTCGTGGACTTTAAACTACAAGGATGTCCGAGCCAAGCAAGCGTCGTTTGATCCTACATGTGAGAAATGTACCCAAGTTACCTACTGAACGTCGGTGGTTCTACTCAAGTGCCCGTTTGTGCCTTAAATAATATATAGAGGAGCACCTGAGGTCTTCCATACATCTGCAGTAAAAAGCCGCAAAATCCAAACAAAATAAGTAAGATATTGATTAAGGTAGTACACCCCTAATGCACTATCTCCACTTTGAAGAGTATTCAAATAGGCTACAATCACTGTAAAGTTTATTGAAACTGAGGGGCGTGGGTTCAAACCCCAAGGGGCAACCTTTTTTTATTCCTTTTTTTCTTTTTAACATTTTTTTATTAATCTCTCAAGTCCCTAATGGAAGAAAAAAGTGTTTCATTTTAATTATATGATATTTGTAGGTATTTATTTACTAAAAAATGCCAAATTTAATAGCAAATATGATACTAGATATTTTCAAAGTTTAATAAAATAAAAACTACACGGTAAAAGTTTTTTATATTTTGCAAGACCAACCAAGGTACATTTAAAAAAATTTAGGCAAAATTTGAAAACAGCCCCTCATTGTGGGAAATTTTAGGGATATTTTAAATAAGGCTTTTACACAGGGAAATGGTCAAATAAGTGTTAAAAGTGGGTGGGGTAGGGTTACATTTTTAAACATATTAAAAACATTTCGTTTAAAAACAATCATTTTGCTTGTTTAATTTGTTACCTAAATGTCATTATGTGTTTCTTAACATTGAGCAAAAGGAAAACATTTTTAATAATGATGATATATAGATTATTAAGAGTTTCCACATTTCTGAAAAAAAGCCCTTATAATGGCAAAGTTTTAGTTCAGAAAAATGTCCATAACTCATAAACCACACGGTAAATTTCGTTTAAATTTTGCATACAGGTGACATTTAACGCATATTACTGTCCTATGTTGTCAATTTTACAGTTCCTTATAGTGCCCATTAGGGGTGTACTACCTTCTTATGCTATATGCTTTGTGATTGATATTGTTACTGTGTGTATACCACACTTGCAAATAATTATATATGTATATAATTATGCAAATAAAACAATTTTCAAACATCGAAGAATGTGTAAAATGTGTACTGCAAATATTTGTGCACATTATATTTAATCAATAAATTATATACATGTATTGGAAAATTTGACTGAAAATAAATTTTTAATTACCTCCCTTTATTAACATGAAATGTTAAATTCGGTAATATCTTTATAAATAATGCTTATTTGAACTTACAATATTAACACATCTTAATTTGAGCATCACATTTTTGAAATAAAAGTATGAAAAAAATGTGTTACAGGATTTTTAAATGTATTACCTTTACGGAAATAAAGTTCACTATTTGGTATTACCGTATTTGGAATTAGTTAACTTTAATCGGAAGAGATAAGATACCTTTGCCTGAAACTATGGATTCCACAGAGGGATTTTGACAGGCAAAGACTTGAAATATTTTTTTCGAGATTTTTTTTGTATTATTTGCTGCAAGTCTATGTCAATCGCTCACTACGTTTTTTTTTTTTTCAGAAAAATATCTTGCACAATGACCTTTTTTTACAAGATAGGGCAGTTAGATGTTCCGGTGTTCAACTACAACCGTGCATTGTTTTATCATTTCTTTTGACTTGACATAAGAATATTTCAATTTCCTTTGTAGCTAAAGTGTTTAAAGAGGAGCGATAGCTTGTTGCCGAATTATTGTAAAACAAACACTTTAGTTAAATGCAGTTATTAGTCACAATGTTTTTTTCTGCATCTATTATATAAACAGTTGTTGAATATTTTCTCTTCCTCTTGTGTATTTGGTTGTCGTAATGAAGATCTTTTATGTTTTTATTTAAATAATTGCAGCAATTAAGTCTATTAGCACGATTTAAAATTAAGCAATGATGACAAGGGATGTAAAGGGGGGGAATGATGGGTAAGAAACAAGGAGAGAGAAGTAACAGATACTGTGTAAGTTAGAGGATAATATATAAACAATGAGAAAAGTGTAAGTAACCGGGACAGGGTAGTAAACGAGAAATAATATAAATACGTAACGAGAACAAGTAAAATCGAAGTCAGGTCAAGTTACAAGGATTTAATAAAATTGCAAGTAACGAAGATAGTATTAGTGGCGATTATAGTGTAAGGAAGGGGGATGTTATAAGTAGCTAGGACAAAGTAAGGAAGTAGGATAGTGTAAGTAAGTACATCAGAATAAGGGGAAAATATATTGTAAGTAACGAGCACATGGTGAATTATTAAGATAACATTAGTAACAATGACAGGCTAAGTAACAAGGACAGGGTAACATAAGAGGATAGGGAGGATAGTGAAATTAACAAGGACAGGGTAACGTCTGAGGATAGTGTATGTAACAAGGAAAAGGTAACGTAAAAGGATAGTGTAAGCAACACTGACAGTGTAACCTAAGAGGATAGTGTAAGTAACAAGGTCCAGGCTAACGTAAAGGATTATGTAAGCAACGAGGATAGGGTAACGTTAGAGAATAGTTTAAGTAACAAGGACAGGGTAACGTAAGAGGATAGTGTAAGCAACAAGGACAGTATAACGTCTGAGAATAGAGTAAGTAACGAGGTCCAGGGTAACGTGAGTGGATAGTGTAAGCAACAAGGACAGGGTAGTGTAATAGGATAACTTAAGTAAGGAGGATAGGGTAACGTTGAAGTATAATGTAAGCAACAAGGGCAGGGTAACGTAAGAGGATAATTTAAGTAAGGAGGATAGGGTAACGTTAAAGTATAGTGTAAGCATCAGGAACAGGGTAATGTAAGAGGATTGTGAAAGTAACAAGGACAGGCTAGCGTCTGAGGATAGTGTAAGTAACAAGGACCAGGCTAACGTAAGAGGATAGTGTAAGTAAGGAGGACATGGTAACGTTAGAAGATAGTGTAAATAACAAGGACAGGGTAATATAAGAGAATAGTGTAAGAAAGAACAGGGTTACGTAAGATGATATTGTAAGTAATGAGAACATGGTAAGATACGATGATAATGTAGTAACAAGGACAGGGTTAGGAATAGTATAAGTATTAGGAATATTAGGAACGTGTAAGGAACGAGGATATAAAATACAACTGGACTATGCATGAAACGAGGAAAGTGTATGAACTTGGAAATGATCATGTAATAGTTAAGCGTGAGCAACGACGACATAATAATAATGAGGTAAGGGTAAAGTATACTGAAAGTTTTAGTAACGTGGACAAGATAAAGTATATGGATAGTGTTAGTAACGAGGACAGGATTTGGTATACGGATAGTGTTAGTTACGTGGACAGGGTAAAGCATACTGATCGTGTTAGTAACGAGGACACGATAAGGTATATGGATAGTGTTAGTAACGTGGACAGGGTAAGGTAAACGTATAGTGTTAGTAACGAAGACATGACAAGGTGTACGGATAGTGTTAGTTAAGAGGACAGGATAAGGTATACGGACACTGTTAATAACGAGGACAGGGTAAGGTACTAGAATAGTGTTTAAGTAACGAGGACAGGATAAGGTAAACGGATATTGTTAGTAACAAGGAAAGGATAAAGTTTAAGGAAAGTGTTAGTAACGAGGACAGGGTAATGTATACGGATGGTGTTAGTCACGAGGACAGGATAAGGTATACGGATAGTGTTAGTAACGAGGACAGGGTAAAGTATACTGATAGTGTTAGTAAGTAGGACAGGGTTAAGTATACTGAGAGTTTTAGTAACGTGGAGAGGGTAAGGTTTACGGATAGTGTTAGTAACGAGGATAGGATTTGGTATACGGATAGTGTTAGTTACGTGGAAAGGGTAAGGTATACTGATCGTGTTAGTAACGAGGACATGATTAGGTATATGGATAGTGTTAGTAACGTGGACAGGATAAGGTAAACGTATAGTGTTAGTAACGAAGACATGATAAGTGTACGGATAGTGTTAGTTTAGAGGACAGGATAAGGTATACGGATACTGTTAATAACGAGGACAGGGTAAGGTACTAGAATAGTGTTTAAGTAACGAGGACAGGATAAGGTATACGGATATTGTTTGTAACAAGGAAAGGATAAAGTTTAAGGATAGTGTTAGTAACGAGGACAGGGTAATGTATACGGAGGGTGTTAGTCACGAGGACAGGATAAGGTATACGGATAATTTTAGTAACGAGGACATGATAAGGAATACGGGTAGTGTAAGAAATGAGGATGGAATAAGGTAAACGGATAGTGTTACTAACGAGGATAGGGTAAGGTATACGGATAGTGTTAGTAACGAGGACAGGATAAGGAATACGGAGTGTTAGTAACGAGGACAGGATAAGGTATTAAAATAGTGTTTTAGTAACAAGGACAGGATGAGGTATACGGAGAGTGTTAGTAACGAGGCCAGTAAAAGGTGTACGGATAGCGTTAGTAACGAGGACAGGATAAGAAATACGGATAGTGTTAGTAGCGAGGACAGTAGCAGGTGTACGGATAGTGTTAGTAACGAGGACAGGGTAAGGTATATGGATAGTGTTAGTAACGAGGTCAGGGTAAGGTATGAGTAGTGCGTCATTTATATGAAGAGGGTATGATATGAAGGTATTGTAAGTAGTGAGGACATGGTAATGGACAAGGACTGTGTATGTAATGAGGACAGAGTAAAATACGAGGATAATGGAATAAAACAAGGACAGGGGAAGGTATTATTTTTATTGTAAAAAGTGTTGAGAACGTAGATATTTTAAGTAATGAAGACTGGGTAAGATATGAAAATTATGCAAGTTATAGGCAGTGATGATTATTCTTTGTTTAGAACATGTTTTTGATTGTTTCTTTTTGTTGTTGTTTTTTTTTTGTCCGTTGCATACATTCTGACTAGAATTCATAGTTCTATCTACAACTCCTTTGCATAATGCGCATCAAAACTTTATTTTCTTTTTCAATTCCAGATTTAAAGTAACAGAATGGCAGGCATTGTGATTTTAGTCGGACTGGTGATCACTCTCCCAATATTAAAAGCCGGACTTATGATGGACCCAGGTATATATATCAAAGGGCTGCAATCTAAATCGTACTGTATATCTGTATGTATTTTCCTGTATAGGTTTTTTTTATTAAATTTTTATTATCCAGTTCGTACAAACAAATACATTTCATACATTATACAAATTTACAAACATATTACAAATTTTTTATTTGCAAGAATAAACAATGGTTATATCAGAAAAAAAACTTTAATAAAGACTAAGTAAATTTAAACTGATTTAACATGATTGTAAAAATGGAAAAGTAATCTAGAGCATGATATATGTAATTTTAATTACTTATAGTTATGTTTTCATTAATAAAAAAGAAGCGTTTCATAGTAAGCGTGTAAATAATATTTATTAGACTCCAGTCAGTCGCATATGTTTATGATGTGAATATGCTCCACTTGTTGTTATGGACATCGACCTTATTTTTCATTTCAACAATGAGTCTTTCTAAACTAAGTTTATATATAAGATAATTTAAAAATTCACTGAAGTTTGGTACGGTTTTCTGGTATTTATTTTTAAATATAAAATATTTACCTATGAGTAAAATATAGTTAATGCAGTTTGATTTCATATTATTTTGAATATTCACATTACACAAACTGACAGTTTCGTATGATACCAAAGTTTTGTCTGTAGAATATTTTGTTTTTAAAAAAAAATCCTGATTTAACACCAAAATGGTTGATTTTTGAGCATTCCCAATATAAATGTACATTAGATTCTGGTGCAGAGTTGCAAAAATCACATAACATTGACTCCACCATATTATATTTAAAGATCCTGTAACACATTATTTTTATGGTTTTATATACAAATTATGATGCTCAAATTAAGATTTATCGATGTTGTAAGTTTCAAAAAACATTAATTATAAAGATATTACCGAATTTAATATTTCCTGTAAATAAAGGGAGGTAATTAGAATTTAGTTTTCTATAAATTCTAAGTCAATTTTTCCAATAAGAAATGAATGCATATAATTTAATGATTACCTTAAATATGTACAAATATTTGCAATATATATTTTACATATTCTTCCATGTTTGAAAATTGACATATTTGCATAATTACATACATATATAATTCAATGAAGAGTGGTATGCAATCTCAATTACAAAACATACAGGATCTTTAAAGAGTTTTTCATTGTTTGGCAAAATACGCATAAGATATTTATACTGAAAACTTAGAAGTTTGGTATCAATCGTTATGTTTATTATTTGATGGAATATATTTTTCAATTCAAAGTTGCCTGAGAGTTCAGCTTCCCATTTGTTTTCTTGATGATTGTTTGTTGTTGTTTTCTTTTGAATAAGCATAGTATAAATAAATCGGAAGGTTTTAATTTGCGGTTTTAATTTATCAATTAAGTAGTTATTAGCTTTGTATTGTATCCCTTCAGATTTTAGTTTTATTTTTCCATTCTGTTGGTATGCATTTTATGAGTTGATGATAGTTTAAAAAGTTTGATTTGGCTATGCCATAAAGGTTTTGGATTTCGTTAAAGCTATAAAATTGTTTTTTCCTATAATCGTATATATGTTCGATAAAAATTACGCCCTTTTCCATCCATTCACAGAAAACAAATGGTTTGTTACTTAGTTTTATATTCGTATAAGTTTTTTTTATATACTATAAGTCATCTTACAGGGCACCGAGATGAAGTGACTGCGTTTAGATTTTTACTATAACAGTTTGAGTGTGATATATACGGAGTTCTGCATGACTGGAGATGCATCAAAAATCATTTATGTTCATTTTTTATGATAGCCTCACTTCATCCTTGCATATCGTGGCTACTTTCTTTTAAAAGACACTTAAAAAATAGATAGTCCTCGACTGGGATTTGAACCCCAAGCCTCTCACACCCTAAACGAGCATTACCCCTGCACCACGGGTAAGTTATATGAAGAAAGCCTGAATAAAATCAAATAATTCTAAATTTAGAATTTCCATTTCGGGTTTGTAATCTTTATTAATTTTCACGATAAACCTGTTGTTTAACACTGATTTAAATAATTTAGCAAAAATCTTCTCTCGCCAAAACAGTCCGACATGTATATATTCCACTACTCGACAGTCAGATTTATTTGTGTATTACGCTCTAAAGTATTTGGTAATTGACATTGCTAAAATGGCATTTTTATTGATTAAAACCCGCGTAATTTGTGATTGTGCATTTATTGACAATTCTATAAGCCAACACTACTTTTAAAATTTGAATGCGTTGTAATTTCTTGGATACTTGTAACAAAATAAAAACATTTCTTTCTTTTACATCGCTAGTTTTAAGCTGCTTTGAGAACTACTTGTTGTTAGGTTTGTCGTGAAATTCTATGCCAAAGATTGAATTATTTCTTTATTCACTGCAGTGGTTTAAAGCAATACTTATATAATATAAAATATGCCTATATTTAATTTCTGTTGATATCATGTGCAAAGTCAAATTATCTTCATGAATTAATATATGATCTTTGTTATGATTTAAGGCAGTGGGCCTACTATACTTGATGAACTAATGACTGGTGGCTCAAATGTCACGGGTCCACCTATGACAAACTTCACTACTCGAGCAGAAACCGGAACAGTGCCCGGAGTCACCTTCCCTAGAGAAGGGGGAGGGGGATTTACATTTGAAAACCGTAGTACAGGAATGATTACAGATCCAGTTGGTTTTGGCCGTCGTGACCGCAATGATACAGGTATATAATATCTCTGCGATATGTCTTTACAGCATATTTTTAATTATGTTTTCTTCATTTTTGGGAGACATATTGGTTTTGCCTTCGCCATCTGTCCGTCTGTCTGTCTGTCTGTCCGTCCGTCCGTCCGTCTGTCCGTCCGCATTCAGCGTGTTCGGCTTTCACAGGTCAGAGTGCTGGCCGGATTCCAATGGAACTTCACAGGAGTGATCAGTACCATCCCTATTTGTGCATATCGCCAGCATGTTCCGCTTGGCTGCACAAGATGGTCACCAGAGCTATGAATAGAAAAATCTTGTCCAGATTTCACAGGTCTAACAGTTACTGCTCGCGGGATTTCAATGAAACTTCATAGGAGTGATCATGACCATTCTACTTTGCTGCAAAAATTGCCACCAGAGCTATAAATATAAAGATCTTGTCCGGCTTTCACAGGTCAAACTGCTGGCCGGCTTTCAATATAACTTCACAGGAGTGATCAGTACCATCCCTAGTTGTGCATGTCGCCGTCATGTTCCACTTGGCTGCACAAATCGGCCACCAGAGCTATAATAGAAAAATCTTGTATGGCTTTCACAGGTCAAACTGCTGTTGGGATTTCAATGAAACTTAATAAAAGTGATTAGTCCCATCCCTTCTCGTGCACGTTCCGCTCCGCTGCACAAAATGGCCACCAGAGCTATTAGTAGAAAAATCTTGTCCGTTTTTCACAGGTTGAACTTCATGTGGAATTTCATTGAAACTACACAGGAATGATCAGTACCATCCCTAGATGTGCATATGGCCGGCAAGTTCTGCTTCACTTTACAAAATGGTCACCAGAGCTATCAATGAATAAATCTTGTCCGGCTTTCACATGTCTAACTGCTGTTTGGATGGCAATGAAACTCCATATCAGTGGTCAATACCATCCTTTGCACAAAATGGCCGTTAAAGCTATAAATAGAAAAATCTCGTCCGACTTTTACAAGATGAACTGCTGTTGGGATTTCAATGAAACTACACAGGAGTGATCAGTAACATCCCAAGAGATGCATATGGCCGGCATGCTCAACTTTACTTTACAAAATGGCCATCAGAGCTATAAATAGAAAAATCATGTCCGGATTCCACAGGTCAAACTGCTGGCCGGATATCAATTAAACTTATAATAAGCCATGTATTATATGTACGTATTGATTTTGTTAAAGAGAGGACTACCATTAGCTATTGTAGCTCTCGGTACAATTCCTTTCAGCTTAAATTGTAAAGTATTAACATGTGTATATATACCTTGAATAAAAATATGTTTAAACTAATACAAACGTATATGATCTTTGAACTGATTTAAGGCAGTATACTTGATGCAATAATGACTGGTGGGTCAAATGTCACGAGTTCACCTATGACAAACATCACTACTCAAGCAATGACAAACTTCACTACTCAAGCAATGACAGATTTCACTACTCAAGCAATGACAGATTTCACTGGTCGGGCAGAAACTGGAAGAGTGACCGGAGTCACCATCCCTAAGAAAAGGGGAAGGGGATTTAGATTTGAAGACCGTGGTACAGGAATGGTTGACCGTGGTACAGGAAAAATTGTCCGCGGTACGGGAATGGTTGACCGTGGTACAGGAAAAATTAACCGCGGTACAGGAATGGTTGACCGTGGTACAGGAAAAATTGACCGCGGTACCGGAATGGTGGACCGTGGTACAGGAAAAATTGACCGCGGTACGGGAATGGTTGACCGTGGTATAGGAATGGTTGCCGGTGATATGGGCACAGGTCCAGTTAGTTTCGGCCGTCGTGACCGCAATGGTACAGGTACAGTATCCCTACAATACATGTCTTTATAGAATAGTTCGACTTCGACATTATCCATGTATCATAGATATTTCCGTTAAAAAACACGTTCATTTTTTTTAACATTTCGAACAATTAAAATCATGTTAAATTCGTAAATGCCACTCATTGCATTATAATTGTCATGATGTGTTATATATCCTATAATATATTAAAAAAATCATATAGCAAACGAAAACATTTTGATAGATATGACTATTTCGTATATGTCTCTGTAATTACCAATCATTATGATGTTATATTTTGTTAATAGGATAAAGTTAAAACAAGTTTTAATGTTTACTTTATTACAGTTCTGTCTCCTGGTCTAGCGTCTATAGAGCAAAGACGTTTGAATCGACGTAAGTTTCACAACAATAAAACTTTATTTTTAGATTATGGTTAGAATATTCATTAAACATAATTACTTGTATACTGTGCAACCTCCCCTTACGGTCACCTATCGACAACAGCCACCTCCTTACAGCAGCCAGTTTCAATTCCCCATCATAACTTTCATCAACGGCCAACTCTCAACTCCCACCAATAACGACATATTTTTCCTTACAAAATAAATAAATACCATTCCGACGGCCTCCAAACTTTTTGACTGGCTGTGTAATTTAACCGTATTGGATTTTCTCCCACATGTAAGTTATCTTTAATTGTATAATAGTTTGGGGACCTTTCTGTTGAAAATGTGTAAAAGTTAAATCGTATACATATACACGCACAGTGCGTTAACTGGAGTAGAGGTATTGGTTACCCGCACTCCAGAGCATGCCCATTGATTGGTTCATTTTTGCTGGGGTTTACTTATTGTGACAGCAGAAAAAGGGAAAGCGACAGAAATATCATATTCAGATGCTCGTTCATTGGTTACTTTTTTCTGGGGTTTCATATTGTGACAACTGGGAACGGTTTTTTATGTTTGACTATGATACAAAAGAGAAAGAACATCAATACACTCGGCAATCTGAAAAATACTCGGGGGCTATGCCCCCCCCCCCCTCGTACAAATCAGATAGCCTCGTGTTCGATGCTCTTCCTATTACTTAAACCAGTACATATACATCATGCAAGAAAAAAGCCAAACTTCATTCTGTATGTAAAGGATATGGACCTCGTGACATGAAAACTGGTTACATTGTTGAATAAATGTTAAAATGAAATATGAATTAACACTTGTAATATTTTTGTTTGGCTGCTTTGAACAGTTATAAATTCAATCCACATCGTGTTCCTCATAGAATTTTATTTTGGGTAACTTATTCAGATGTATCTCTAAATGTCCCATGTGTTCTACAATTATATAATAGATACTGAACAAGAAATTTCATTCCAGTCCGCATGAATATAAAATCATGAAGGTTTTAAATGATCAAACTTTTTTCGACAGCATCAACATTTTTTAGGTAATGAATACCTATACTACTCAACTTTTGCTAAGCACCATATGTTTGAGTGTGAATATTTTTCGGGATAATTATATTAGCACCGGACGAAAGGTTTTTAATGTTGATTTACTGTTTGAAGGACGACTTTATCCATATAAATGAGTTTTTGTGCTAGAGAAGAGGATGACCCCTTTTATGAAGATTTCATAACATGCAGCGTGTTTTTTAAATTTGTTAAATTGTTTGCTTTTTTGGTTTACAGTTTAAGACTTAATACCGTGTGTGTGACCCGTTACTATCAATGAAAGCTTGGCAGCGCTTTTTTATACTCCTTATTAGGTTTCTGATCGTTCTGACGGGTATGGCTGCCATTCTTGGACCAACATGGCTGCCAAGCTCCTGGGTGGTTCTGAGTTGCAGCTGACGAGCTGAAATAATAACCTGCAGCTCATTCCACATGTGTTCTATTGGATTTATATCAGGTGAGCGAGCTGACCAGTCCATGCGCTCAATAGACTCCCTCTCTAGGTAGTCCTGGACCACCCTGGCCCTATTGGGGCGAGCCTTATCGACCATTAGAATGAACTGATCGCCGACTGCTCCAGAACACTACCTAACCTGGTTGTCTAAGATGTCGTCTATATATCGCTGACCGGTCATTGTGCCTCCAGTTAGCACAGCCATCCCAGCTGATGCCTCCCCACAACATAACTGACCCCCCTCCGCGGTCATACTCAGCAATATTTGCAGTCTCGTCTTCATCAAACTCTAGCACGCCTATCTGTGAAGTCTAGGCAGAATCTGGACTCATCAGTGAACAGAACGTGTCTCCAGTGTTGCATGATCCACCGTGTATGCTTTATGGTCCATTTCAAACGGGTCTGGCGATGTCGACGCGTCAAGGGGATACGAATGCAAGGTCTTCTCGTCCGCATTTCACCTTCATGCAGCGTTCTACGACCGTCTGCGTGGAAACACAAACCCCGGACATTTCGAAGAGAAGATGCTGTCGAAAACCTTGCACGACGTGCCTGAACGACCAAAAACCGGTCCTGAGCTGGTGTTGTAACCCTTTGCCGACCTCCAGCATACCCCTGGCGGGTGTACCGGTATCTCATCCAGGCTCTGGTAAAGACGGTGTGGTGTACACCAAGCGCCGCACCAACCTGGCGGAAGGTGCCCTCCCGCTGCACAATCCCTACAGCCCTCCATAACTCTGTGTCTCTCAAATGCCGCCTAATGTTAGCATCTGCCATATCGAAGTGACAGATGTAAGAAATGTAAGCCGCTGAATTAAAATAAGCCGGTAATGTCGCCGTATAACAAAAGACATGTGATTGTACACCGCATTAAAAACATCAAAATATTGGGTTGCATGCTTTCCATGCTACCTAGATGAGTTGTAACGAATTAGTCAACACGGATTCATGTCAGGGGAATATCTCAAAACATTTCTGAATCAGAATTGTCAAAAATTGGAAAGAAATCTGTAATAAAATATAAAAATTACCTTATGGTGCTTAGCAAAAGCTGATAACCACTTGTAAAGGTCCTGTTTTTCTCAATTTGTTATGTCTTTACAGCCCTACATACTTCAATGGCATACTTCCGTGACAAAAACGTTTCGAGCCAGTTTTGGACTGTCCGACTGTTGGCTGTTGAAGGGAGGTTGCACTGTAGTTAATTATTATAAATTAGATATAATAATAAGGTGTTATAACATGTTTTGTACAGTTTGTAAAGTTTATTTTATAATGTTACGTACGATCAATTTATGAATTATAATTATGATTAATATTTTTGTGTTTAAACTCGAACATTATCTTGTATCTTGATTTTAGTTTGCGCGGAGAAATGTAAGACTGAGCATTGTTACTTGGCCGACGAATTAGACTGTCGTAATTTTATAAATTGTCAGCAGGACACGAGAAGTAGTTATCATGCTACACTACAGCCATGTGCATTCGGGACATATTGGGCAGGACTTCAGTTACAACAGAAAATTACGTGTGATGTACCAACAGAAGTAGTGTGCAATAGAGGTAGTTTATCAATTCAATACTTGTTTGTTTTTTCAGGTTTTGTTATGCCCCCACAAAGTGGGGGCTATTGGTTGCCCTTGGGCCCTCCGTCCGTGCGGCCCCCCCGTCAGTCCCTGTTAGTCCCTCCCGGCCCTAGTCCCCAAAATTTTTGAAAGAACCCCCCTTTTAAAACCCGGGTGGGGATTTGTTTAAAATTCAGGAAAGAACAATTTAAAAGTGTAGATGGTTTGTAAAAGGGGGAATTTTTTTGGAAAAATTTTAAAGAATTTTGGCCCTTTTTTTGATTTTGTTCACTATAATTTCCATATAGAAATTTGGGGAAAAGCAAATCCCTTTTTAAAAGGTTTAAAAGGAGATTTTGCCTTTAAAATTCCAGGGATGAAAACCTTAAATTGGGGGTTTCAAAATGGTTTTGTTTAAAAGGGAAGGAAATTTTTTCCCCGGGGACCAAAATTTTTAAAGAATTATGGCCCCCGGTTTATTTTTTTTCACTATATAATATAGAAAATTTTGGTTTAAAAGCAAATCCTCTTTAAAAGTATGGCAGATTTTTTCCCTTCTTCGGGATGGGAAATTTAAAGTTAAAGTAATTAAGGGAAAAAAAGGGTTTTCGCGGCCCACCAAATTTTAAAAACAATTTTGGCCCTTTTTTTGATTTTTTCAATAATTTTTTAAACCAAAATCAGAAAATTTTTTAATGCAAACTCCCCTTTTTAAAACCCCGGGGGAGATTTTGCTTAAAATTCCAGGGATGAAAAACCTTAATGTTTTAGATGGGAAATAAAAGGAAAGGAAAATTTTTGGGGGGAAAATTTAAAGAAAATTTTGGCCCCCTTTTTTATTTTTTTATATTTTACCATAAAGGAAATTTTTTGAAAGGGAACACCCCTTAAAAACCCGGTGGCAGATTTTTCTTAAATTCCAGGTTTAAAAAACCCTTAAAGTGTAGATGGAAGTAAAGGAAGGAATTTTTCGCGGCGACCAAATTTAACAGAATTATGGCCCTTTGTTGATTTTTTCACTATATACCATATAAATAATTGAACATATAAATTTTACATTTTTAATTTGATTTAACATGTACATAAGGTTACCCGTAGATCATTTTAGGTATATGTACAGAAATGAAACAGTGGAATGAAGATGGAAAAAGTATAATAGGTAATAATGCTTGTAGTGGTAGCTATGCTTGTCTTTGAGATGTGGTTTATTATCCTTCCTCCACTTTTCTATGTATATGGTGCCATTTACACTAATATATCTGTTGGGAATTAATACTTTGATTTATCTTGATTGAATATTTGATTTAATACTTCTTGAATGAGTTGTTGTTACACAGTGAAGGTTTTCCAAATATGCCATTGCTTTTATAATAATGTGAAATTAATTATATGCTGTTTCTAAAGCCCTAACAATTGTAGGGTGTAGCTTTACATGATCAAAGTAATAAACCCAACCATATATTAGTGTAAAGAAACGACGCCTCCCAGGGGTGACACCGGTAACAGGATTGCTTGAATGTAGTATTGTAACCATTGCAGAACTCACTTCCCTCTCTTCACTCACATATTAACCTGCTTTTAGTTTTTGCCATATGTATAATTATTTAGAGAAATGTATTTGGCATTTTTTATTTATTTAGAAAAATGAAGTATCTTCATATATTTTCATACAGCTCCTCGATGGAAAATCAACAATACACTTTCAACAATCCTGGCAGAAGTCGTTTCACCATGACTCTGGACAGTCTGTCAACATGTTCTTCCATGTATTTTCAGGTGATTTAAATTGGGAAATTCCCCAATGTTCTGAAAAAATTTTCCAAATAAAAATTATCAAAACCCGGTATCTAGTAGGTTTTTTCCCCAACAACCCTGGCTTCTAAACTCCCGTTATAGTACCCCAAAACCCCCAAAAGGTTCCAGAGTAACCCTAAAAATAAAGTGGACAAAATTTTTTAGATTACCCCAAAAAAGAACACATCACAGAAAGTTTCAACACTGCACTCTCCGCTGGAAGTCTTAAGAAAGCATTGTAATTTTGGAAGGGTTTAGAAAATTTCCCCCATTGAAAATAAAGAAGTTTTTAAACAAAAATTTCAGAAAAGTATTTAAAAACTTTAGAGAGCGTTTGATAACCCCAAATAGAGCAAGTCTTATTTTTCTGTCTGAAGAAAAGATTGTAGGGCGCAAAAGGAAAATAAAATGTATGAGGAAAAAATTTAAAACGTTTTACTCTCATGTCAAAGGTTCCCCTTTTTTTGCTTACGAAAAACTAACAGCCTAACCCAAAAACAAAAAAAAAAACTGGGACTGCATTTCCCCCGAACAAAAAAAGCAAAATTTACACAGTATGTGTCATCTGTCCCGGAAAAAAAAAGAGCTTTCTCCCAAAGTAAAGAACTTAAAAAGGGAAATAGAAGAGAAAACTTGAAAACTTAAAATGGATGTTTTTTTCAGTGATTTTTGAGGCTATGACTACAAAATGAAAACCCGGAACGACAGAAATTTAACTGCTCACAAGCAAAAACAAGGGAAAAAGAAAGAGGGAAATTGGGGATTCCCCAAAAAACTCCAATTTATTTCAGGTGGAAAAAATTCCCCCCAAGGAAAACCAAACCCCCAAACCCGGGGCCAAATTAAAAAATTGAAAAAATCCCTTTTTTTTGGAAATTTGTTTATTAAAAGTTTTGACTTTGTGTAACCGGCACTTGCATACCCTCATGCATGTTTGTTGTGTACAAAAGCTATCTAAACATTTTTTTCCTTCTCTGATTTAAATATATTTTGTTGTTATTTCATGAACCTAAGGAAAGGGATAATACTAAAGTAAAAGTTTACACAGATAGTTAAAGGGATACCATCAGGTTTCACACATATTTTTTCAACATTTTTCACTGTTTGTACATTCTTTTAGGTCATTATTTAACGAACAAAATGACCCCTTAAATAAGATAAGATTTCTTGTAGAAAAATATATATTAGCATTTTTATGCAAAAATGTTATTACCTCCCCTTAACTTGAAAATATTCAAAAGGTTGATTATTTTTTACTGTTGTGGGTTAAGTCCAGTTTTTTTTGTGCGTAATGGTTGAGGGAATCAGATCTTAATTCACTAGGACCAACGTTGATATACGTGGAAAATTAAAAAGGGTTGTTTAACCCATGCTAAATCAAATAGGATAGAAAAACTGGGTCATTTCCCTTTTATTAATTTAAAAATTTTGGCTTGGAGTTTTTTGTGTGTAAAACGTTTTTTTAAAATAATATAAATGTATTTAACTGATGAATAACCCTTTTTTTTCAAAATTTAGTTAAAATTACCCCAAACCTTTCTGGTCTTTTAAATTTTTCCCCTTTTAGAAAAATGATTTAGTGAAGTTTTGAAAATTTGTTTCTGAATTAAATAATTGAAAAGGTGCCCTCCCAAAGAAAAAAAAAGGAAACCCCGGACCCAGTGTGGAAAATTTAAACAATGCTTTTTGAAATTGTATTTAATTTTTTAATGACTTTTTTGGGGAACCCGGATTTTCATACCCCCATGGGATTTTGTTGGGGTAAAAACTATCTAAAAAATTTTTTTTCCCTTTTTTGATTTTAAAATGAATGTGTTTCCCTGACAAAAACCCTTTTAATAATGATATTATTTTCACTATATAAAATTTTAAAATTTTGATAAAACATTGTTTTCTTTCCCTTAAAAAAATTTTCTAGAAATTTAAATTATTGTAATAAAAAGAACAATGCAAAAAATTTTTCCCTTTAAATAAGAAAAAAGTAATTTCTGTTTTCCATATTTTTTCCTGAATTTTCCCTTTTTTTGTTGCAGCAGGGGCTAAGGGTACTCCCTACCCTTTTTTTATGAAAGTATAATGCTTTTAGGCGTTCCGGGGTCATTTGTTAAAAGGTTTTTGTTTTTTAAAATTTGGTAATTTTTAAAATTTTAAAGATATTCCCTTAAAATTTTAGATAAGAAGTTTTGTGAAAGTTCTTTTATGAAATACTTAAAACTAAAAATTTTTTCAATAAGACATGTTTTGTCATGGAATGGCTTATATATTTTGTTATTATTTTCATGAACCTAAGGAAAGGGATAATACTAAAGTAATAGTTTACACGGATTGTTAAATAATCCCATTTTAGTAAAAACTGGTTTCAGTGAAGTGTGACATTAGTTACTGTCATTAATATTTTAAGGAAAACTTGATTGTTATTTTTTCTTTTCATCTTATACCTGTCCAAAACATTCTGTATTTTTAATTGAATATGTTTCTGTTTTTTCTTAAACATAGAGAAAGGGATTATAAATAATATTTTTTCTTTTTTAAAGACAGTAAAATCATTCAATTTTACACTCTTTCATAAATTTAAAATGTTATCCAAGATAGTATATTTAATGTGTATCATCCTCTAGAAGACTTTACAAGGATCAGTCAAATTAGAGCGACAGGGTTTAATATTTTTTTCAGCCCCCCGCGTCATTGATTTTTCAGTGAAAAATTTAAAATTTTAGGAAAAAAACCCTTTTAAAAAAATCCAATTTTTTATTTCTTAAATGTGTTTGGGGTTTGATCCCGAAAAGATTTTTTCCAATTTTGGGGTAGGGTCCTATGACCCCGTTGGGGATATTCATTTTAAATATTTTATAGGAAATATTAAAAGTTTCTTTTTAAAATTCCCCAAAAAAAACTTTTGATATTTGGGGTTTTCAGCCATTAAAAAACAAATCAAAATTTTTTCACATATGGCCCCCGGTCAAAATTTGGCCCCCATGTTAAATTTTTATTTGGCGGTGGGGGTTAAAGGGCTGCCATGGGCCTCTATTTGTTTATGTTTTATCTGTTTGAAAAAGCAATGCAGCTGGATAATGATGTAAGTGTTTACCAAATCCTGAGCAATTTTTGATGATGATCCATTTTACATTCATCAGCTTTCATCGCTTATAAGATGCAAAGACAGAAATTCCTATTCTACTGACTAGAATTCATATAATTTTTTGTACTAGTGTAAATTCTGCTTTACTGTTATAACTTCATTTTTGTACTTTTGTCTTTTTCTTCTTCTATAAAATTATGTTTTTTTACTAAAACATTATACATATGACAAAAAAACAACTATTTTTTCATTTGCATTATTGTACAACTGCATTGCTTTTTCTGGGAAAATGCGAATTTGCTACATTCTATGCATTTTCCCAAATATTCAATGTAAATGTTTAAAATTTGAAATAAATCATTTCAGATCAGATGAATAATGACTGAATAAGAGATGCCAAAAAAAGGACGTAAAAAATTCTACGCGGACCAGAAAAGAAAAAAAGGAAGGAACATATGCGCCAAGCTAGATTGTGTGCTGGACAATGTTAGTGAACTGACTATAACTGAAAATGGAAACCATCACCCATTCCTGGTACACCTGAGTCTGAAATAAACAAAAGTACTTTTTCATTTATAAACCTAGGACTACGAAATAGAACATTCACATGACACTGTTCGTTACTCTTGGGACCCTCAAGCCAGGTGCAGTGCTTCATATCCTGCTGAAACCGTGGAACCCAGTGTCAGGAGATGACACCATTCAGTGCAGTTGCCAGCAGTAATTTTTACATCTGAGGTCAGCGCTTCAATATTACACCAGCAATTGCTGCTAGCCAGACCAGTGAGAAAACATACCAGTAATCATTTTACCATCTGCAGGTCCTGATTTAAGATGGTCATCAGCAGGTAATGGCTATAGTTTCTAAACACTTCAGTTAAATACAGTTTGTGTTTTACTTTTTTATATTGATTCACATTAGTGTTTTTTCTGTGAAAATTATTTTGTTTTGTTAATTTTTTTTGTTTTTTTGGGTTTTCGTCAACCCCCAGTTTTATTTGCCATTTGGAGGAATGCTTCAAAATTAACATGTTATTACAATGAGTCCATGACATACCCAAAAAACTCAAAATGGGAGAAACAGCATTAAATACATGCCTTTATTGACTTTTCAGTCCCCGTTTTTGTTTTCCAGGTTGTACCTTTACATAATAGCAAATCCTGAATACCTTTTACGTTTAATTTGGAAAATGAAAAACAGAAATACCCGCCCATATAATTTCCCGCAGCAATAGATTACTGTTTAGTAATAGCAAAAAAACCAGAATTTTTATGTTGGATTTACAAAAAATTTAATTCATTTTGGTTTTTCTCACCAAATTATAGTGGGGGGTTTTCAAAATTTATACAATTTAAATTTGGCAAAATTCGGGGAAAATTTCAACCCCCTTAACAAAACACTGGGGACAGCATTTTAAAAGGTGTGATAGTCAGGGTTTTTATGTTTGAAATCATTAGTAGACCCATAAACCCAAAAGAATGTAGGGCCCCTTTAAAATTATTTAGGGAGAGGGTCTTTTTTTTCCAAAAAAGAAAAATTTTTTATGTAAACCGCAGGGGGCTTATCCTAGTGGGTTGGTATTTCCCTTTGCATTCAGTTGCTTCCTCGGAAATGACCCAACATTACAACAGTTCAATATTCATAGTGCTCGTGCTCATTTAAAAAAGTGTATAGTAAATGGTGAAGTGGAGAACTTTCCAGTTAGTGATATGCCATTATGTGATATAAACAATAATGATTGGTTTAGTTCTTACATGAGTGACCAAACAATAAAAGAATCACAAAAACAACAGTGCAGGTTAACTTCTCTCCAACAAAGTGTTCAGACTATTGAATCTAAAAGAAAGCAAAATTACAGAAAGAGACGGTTAGTTGAAATGTCGAAAGAACAGTTAAACTCTTTTAGAGAAAGTGAGAAAAAGAGAATTAGAATTTTGAGAGACAAAAACAAGGAAGTGTCAACCACAGAACAAATTAACAGTGAATATGAAAAAGAGAGAATAAAACGAAACACTTCGAGAGAAAAGGCCAGAGTGGATCCAGAAGAATATGAGAAACTCAAACAACTTGACAGAAATAGGCGAAAGACTTCGAGAGAAAAGGTCAGAATGGATCCAGAAGAATATGAGAAACTCAAACAACTCGACAGAAATAGGCAAAAGACTTCGAGAGAAAAGGTCAGAGTGGATCCAGAAGAATATGAGAAACTCAAACAACTCAACAGAAATAGCCAAAAGACTTCGAGAGAAAAGGTCAGAGTGGATCCAGAAGAATATGAGAAACTCAAACAACTCGACAGAAATAGGCGAAAGACTTCGAGAGAAAAGGTCAGAGTGGATCCAGAAGAATATGAGAAACTCAAACAACTTGACAGAAATAGGCGAAAGACTTCGAGAGAAAAGGTCAGAGTGGATCCAGAAGAATATGAGAAACTCAAACAACTCGACAGAAATAGGCAAAAGACTTCGAGAGAAAAGGTCAGAGTGGATCCCGAAGAATATGAGAAACTCAAACAACTCAACAGAAATAGCCAAAAGACTTCCAGAGAAAAGGTCAGAGTGGATCCAGAAGAATATGAGAAACTCAAACAACTTGACAGAAATAGGCGAAAGACTTCGAGAGAAAAGGTCAGAGTGGATCCAGAAGAATATGAGAAACTCAAACAACTCGACAGAAATAGGCAAAAGACTTCCAGAGAAAAGGTCAGAGTGGATCCAGAAGAATATGAGAAACTCAAACAACTCGACAGAAATAGACAAAAAACTCAGAGAGAAATGACCAGACAGACAGATTCAGAACGAAACGAGAAACAGAAAGAATATGATAGAGCAAGACAACAGACACGTAGGATAAATGCTAGAAAGACAGGTTTTAGTAAAAAAATGAAACAGAATGATAGGAAAAGGAAAACAGATGAACGCCATAATGAAAATATTGAAATAGCTATAAGAAGGTTCAAAAAGGATATCAAAGATTATGCCAAATACATTTGCACTTGTTGTAACAGGCTGTTGTATCGTAGAAGCGTATTCCGTGTAAAGTCATCTTCTTTCCCAGAAGTACCTGAGAAATTACGCACACAGTGTTTAAAAGGCAAAACATCCGCTCTTAATTTGGAATGGATTTGTGGCACATGCAGGTCTTATTTAAACAAACACAACTTGCCGCCACAAGCAGATTCAAACAATTTGAAAGTTCCCGCAGCTCCATCTGAATTAAAAGAATTGACCTCACTCGAAGTTAGACTTTTGTGTAAAAGATACCCGTTCATGAAATTAGTTGCTCTTCCTAAAGGTAGGCAAAGTGGTTTGAAGGGCTCTGTTGTAAATGTTCCTGTAAATTGTGAACAAGTTTGTGCAAGTTTACCAAGAACACCGAGTTCAGCTGGTATAATACCTCTGAAATTAAAGAAAAGACAACATTTCAAAAGTCATGTTATGTTCCAGTATATCAGACCTAAGAAGATAGTGGAAGCATTATCGTGGCTTAAAACGCACAATATTCACTATAAGAATGTTCCTGAAAATTCTACTTGGCTGGAGGATGCTAGATCTCAAGATGAAGAAATGTTTACTGAATTGATTCAAGATGACACAAATCAAGACTCGGGCGTACAGAATGAAGAAGACAATAGCCAGCATGCATCTGAACAACTTGAAGACTCTCCATCAGTTGTTGATGAAAGTGATAGTTCAGATGGTGACAGTGATGATAATGAACTAAATGATACAGTTAATAGATTAAGAGGAGTAAAATACGATACTTGTGTGCAACCTGTCAACCCAACCCTTGATGTTGACAAAAGTCTGAGCATTGCTCCTGGAGAAAACCAGATTCCAATGAACATACTGATGGATAAACATTTTGAAGAAATGGCTTTTCCTCATTTATTTCCAACAGGGCATTTCGGTTTTAAAGATCACAGGCCAGTCAAAATTTCCACAAAAAAATATTTTCAAAAAAGACTTCTAGACTCAAGCTGTAATTTTGCTAAGGATATTGAGTATTTGTTCGTGGCACAAACATTTATTGAAAGACAACAAATATTAGACAGTATGTCAATAGCATTGAGAAAGTCGTATACAGCAGGTGAAGATGAAGAACTTACTGCGGCAGTTGTCAGAGATTCAGCAAAGGTAAACAAATACATTCTAAAGAATCAAGCCTACCGCTACCTGCATCCAGTACGAGGAAGTCCACCATACTGGGAAAAAACTCAATTGAAACTACTATCAGCTATCAAGCAGTTTGGAATATTTACATTTTTTTCACGTTGTCTGCTGCTGACCTAAAATGGCACGACACACTGCAAGAAATACTATCGCAGAAAGGTGTTGATGTTAGTGAAACCCAGATTGACTTAATGACTTGGGAAGAAAAATGTAATATATTGAGATCAAATCCTGTGACTGCAGCGAGACATTTCCAATTTCGTCTAGATATGCGGATGAAAGATATGATCCTGTCCGACTCCAAGCCACTAGGACACGTACGCCATTTTTTCTACAGGATAGAATTTCAGCAGAGGGGATCACCACATGCGCATGGTATCCTCTGGATAGATAATGCACCAGATCTGGAAAAGAACAGTCCTGAAGAAATCGCAGCATTCATTGACAAGTATGTACAGTGCAGGCTCCCTGATGAGGACAGTGATGAAGAACTTTATTCCTTGGTAAATCAACTTCAAAGACACAGTCATTCAGCATCCTGTAGGAAATCTGGCAAGGAATGCAGATTTGGATTTCCACGGTCAATATCTTCACACACTTTAGTGTCTCGACCTCCAAGCTTAGACGACACTCTACCACATCTCATACCCGACCAAAGAGAATGGAATTGTAGAATTGCTGGAGTTGTGAATCAATATCTCGAAAGAGCAGATAGCCTTGATGAAATGTCATATGAAGACGTACTTCAAGATTGCAAGTTACTACCACAAGTCTATCAACAAGCTTTGTCAAAGTCTGCTTCATCACCAAAGGTATACCTTAAACGTGATCCAAATGCTGTGAATATAAACAACTACAATGCTTACATTCTTCGTGCATGGCAGGCTAACATGGATGTCCAATTCGTCACAGACCCATATGCGTGTATACAGTATGTAGTCTCTTACATAACAAAAGACGAAAGGGAAATGGGGACACTGCTGCATGCTGTTGCCAAGGAATCTGCACAGGACACAATAAAGGACCAAATGAAAAAATGTGGACAGGCTTTTTTGAATTCTCGATCTGTTACAGCACAGGAAGCAGCGTATCGAGCTTTAGGTTTACCTTTGCATAAATCTAATTTCACCAGTGTCTGGGTACCTACTGGCTTACCATCAGAGCGGATAAGTCTTCTCAAACCTACATTTGTCCTGCAGAATCTAGAAGAGGGAGATAATGACGTATTTGTTAGTGGTATAAGTGACAAGTACAGCAAGAGACCTGCCAATCTGGAAAATTGGTGTTTAGCTCAGTTTGCTGCATGGTATGAAGTAGCACGCAAAGACTATGAACCAAGTGACTTTCAACCAGACATTCTTGCTGATCGATTTAATGATGCTGAAGCCTCTCCAAGTTCTTCAGTTGAAAATGCTCCAAAGTCCATACATGTTCCGTTATCATCATCTCACTGTGTCATGAGGAAGAGAAGAAAACAAGCAGTCGTAAGATTTCACAAATTCTCTGAGGAAAAACAGCCTCGTTCATATTATCATTCACAGTTGTTTTTGTTTGTTCCTTGGAGAAGTGAGAGAACAGACTTGCTGAATGGTTATGAGGACTACCAGGACAGCTACATTGAGCAAAAAGATATCATTGACAAAAACAGGTCCTACTTATTCAAACATGAGAGTCTTGTTGAAGCTGCATTTGAACAGTTACAGAATGAAGATCAGCCGAGAGAAGCATGGGATCAGATAGCAGCTGAAAATCAACAACAAGAGTATGACGCAGAAGATGAAGGAGCACAATCAGATCAAGAGCATGCTATTCTAAACCCAAGTGATCAGCCGAACATCCATGTTGAGTTACCTACACCGTCAGACAGTTGTGTCCAAGCACTGGCTATAGACTCAATGCCACCACCATTACCATATCCAGACTATTGTGCACATGTTAGGACTCTAAACAGTCAACAGTATGAAGTGCTGCAAGTTGTCCTTAATTGGTGCATTACATTTATACAGAGTGTCGGAAATAAGAATGTCAAAAAACCAGATCCATTGCACCTGTTCGTCTCAGGCGGCGCAGGCACAGGGAAATCTCACTTGATTTCTGCATTATATCATACCATTGAGTTAAACTTGCGGAAAGAAGGAGACACCCCAGATTGCCCAAAAGTACTTCTTCTAGCCCCTACTGGAACAGCAGCATTTAACATACAAGGTGCAACAATACATTCAGCACTTCTATTTGCATTGAAGAGCCAGGCATCAAATAAACAATCCACATCATCCCGTCCACTATCTGATGATAAAAAGAATACATTAAGAGTGAAACTCTCTCAACTTAAATTCATAATCATTGATGAGATTTCAATGGTTGGAAGTGACTTTTTTGTTGACATACACAATAGACTGTCTGAAGTATTTGGAGGTACAGATGTATTTGGCGGTATTTCAATTGTAGCTGTAGGAGACATGTATCAGTTACCTCCAGTTTGTCAGCGATATATTTTCCAACCAGCTCTGAATATGTTTGCAGCTTTAACTCTATCACTGTGGGGTACAAATTTCACTTACATGGAACTCACGCAAATTATGAGACAAGCTGATGACCAACCTTTCTCAGAAATGCTTAATAGAGTTAGAACTGGTTCACATACCCCAGATGACATCACATTGTTGAAATCCAGACTTATTACTGATGATACATGTTCAAATGAAGTTCACTTGGATAAATACTTACATGTTTTTGCTACAAATGCAAAAGTTGATGCATACAACGTTCAAATGCTGAATCAGCTTTCAAGTGAAAAAATACATCTTAATGCTACTGACAGAATACCATTATCATTGAAAAATTACCGGTTGTCAGACGATGAAAAACATACTGGCGGACTTGCTAAAGTCATTACCATTGCAGTTGGAGCGAGAGTCATTCTCACAAGAAATGTTGATGTGTCTGACGGTCTAACAAATGGAACTCAGGGCATTGTGAGAGAAATAAAGTTCTTATCAATTAACAAACCAATTGCCATCATGATTCTGTTTGATTCACCAAGTGTAGGGAAGAATGCTCGTCTCAACAGTAAAGTTGATCTGTCTGCATACAAAGAACCAGTTGTACCAATTTCTCAAACAGAAGCAACATTCTCCCCGACTCGTTCAAAAGCAACAGTAATCAGGAAACAGTTTCCAGTTAGATTGTGCTGGGCAACATCAATACACAAAGTGCAGGGGGCAACGCTGGACAATATTGTTGTTTCATTTGAAAACCGTTTCAATTCTGGACAAGCCTATGTTGCCCTGAGTAGGGTGAAAAAATTGAACCAACTCCATTTAATAAGTTTTGATGAAAAGAAAATTGTCACAAGTTCTCACGTAAAGAAAGAAATGGAACGAATGAAGAAGGACACATTTCACCCAAATCCTTTCAAATCGCTTTCAGCAAATGCAAATTTGACTGTTGCTTTGTTAAATGCAAGATCAGCTAGGAATCATTTTACAGATATCATGTGTCATCCAGTTTTAAAGATAGCAGATATAGTGTGCTTAACAGAAGCAAATGTCTACCATGACCAGATCAGATACTACCAACGTGAGGGCTGGACCCTGAAATGCTTAGAAAAGTCATCAGTTTGTAACTGCCATGGAATTCTGTTTTACTGTTCTGAAAACATTCCAGTTGTATCATCAACTACATCTTACCAACCTCATATGGAACAGCTGTTTGTTGAATTATCTTCAAAACCCGGTGTCGGCTCAATACAGGTACTCTATCGATCTCCATCAACAGCACCTGCCACATTTATTACAGATCTTACCAGCACAGTATACGATAGGCAACCTGACATAATCCTAGGTGATTTCAACATCAACGTTGATTCAGTTTGGTACAGAAGACTATCTGAACCTCTGCTTAATTATCGCCAGTGTGTGACATTACCAACACACTTAAGTGGATCTATTATTGATCTTGTCTATGTAAAAGATGAGTTGCCACAGCCAAAAGTAACTGTATACCCAACATATTTCTCTGATCACAGCATTGTGTTCCTGCAGTTTTAGGAGACCAGACATGTGTTTCAAAATTTTGTTTTATTCAGACACTAATATTGTATTCCATCTGTAAAGAGACCAAATATGATGCCTCAAGAGTAAGGTAACTTTTTTATCATTAATACATGAATTGAGGAAATTTCAACTGAAACGCTATGATAAGAACAGAATTTTGTAGACATTAAATGAAGCTGCTCTTGTTTACGAGCACATCTGCACAGTGGGGGCATCCGTGTCCTTTGGACACAGTTCTAGTTTTTTAAATACTTGGCCATGGAGGGCCCTAAATGAACTAAGGAAGAAAATGAAAATACCATTCCTAGTATTTTGTTTTCATTATAAATATATATTTATAAAAAATATCGCCATTTTCCGAGAATTTCATTTTGTGCTTTCAGATTTGCCATAGAAAAAAACTTACAACGTATATGAGTTCTTAAAAGAATTCAAGAAATGCCATAAATCGGGCGAGACGCGACATTTATGCGAGACACGATATTGTAACACGAGATCTAGCTATGTCTAAGTTTTCCGCACCACGAGATTTCACGGAAGGATGTCGTGCCCCGCTTCATGTTTTGACGGAATTTCGCTTTTGGTGTCTCTTGGTAAAATATCGTGTATCGCTTCGTGTCTGTGCTTCTCATAGGCTTGACTATGGTAAATGAACCATCTGGAGCCATCTGGCCTTGTTGCATAATTGCGGACAGGTTATTGGACACTATTTATTCACTTTGAATGGCCATAGACGTCTAAATTAAAGCTGTTTCCTGTTTAAATTTCATCATTTTTAGCATTTTTGGTCGAAAAAATGCGAGCAAAGGTTGCATTTGATGAAGTGAATTTCAGCAGTTTGATTTTAAGTGCCTTTAAAATAAGCAAATGTGACGCTAGAAATTTTCCTTAGAACATACATGACCCCTGTTGTATAAGTTATATCATAACTCTTTAAAATCAGATAAAGCTTTGTTCTCTTAAGTGAGTCCAGCTATGTTTTGTAGATCTTTGAAAAATGTCAGTATTATATAAAACATTAAGGGAATACTAGTAAGTGGTATATCGCCTCAAAGGAGTTTCTTGTCTCGCGTCGACCTACGAGATGCAAAGCGTGACGCGAGATTCCGACAAGATGCGAAACAAATGACAATATGGTATCGTTAAAATAACGCCCGATTACGGTGTTCAGTTTGGACATAAGTAACTATTTTGTCTTCCTTAACTGCGATGTACGTCGGTACAATGGCGAAAGCGCAATGGTAAGACGATGACACGATGATAAAACAACGATGAAACGATTGTGAAATCACGATGATGCGATGACACGATGGTAAAAATAATATCGCGTTTTCAACATCATGCCATGGCAGTTTCATCAGCGCACAATCGTATTCTCATTATCGTACCACCGTGCCATCGTGAACGGGATTCCGTATGATTCAGTGGTCAGCAAATCAAATTTTTGAATTAGATATTATAAGTATTAATAGTTATTTCATAAAAGAAACATTAGCAAACGTATTGCTGATCACACTTGACACGAGGTTAAACGGCGAACCTCGTTTCTATAAAAAAAAATCCTGCCTGAGAAAACATGTGAAGTAATTCATAGAAAATGACATGAGACAAATGTGCTTTCTTGTCCCTTAAAAAGACATGAGACAAATGTGCTTTCTTGTCCCTTAAAAAACTTGATTGGAGCAAATTTGTCACACAAATGAGTTTTTTTGGAAAGACATTTGAGGTCCCATTTGTCTCATGTGAGACAAATGCGACCGCATCGGTCTTACGTGAGACAAATGTGTTCCGAGACAAATGTGCTCCTACATAGCTTACAAGTACTTAATCATATAAAATAGCTTCAATAACAACAGAATTAATGAATTTTAGACAACTATATAACAACTATGTTAGAAATGAGGAAATTAAGCATATCAGACTATTTTCTGTTTCCAATACAAACATACATTTTTATTGTTGTTATAGGCCTCATGCAGAAATACATTTCGTAGCAATAACGATGTACAATGTTAAGATAAGATAATGATAATAAGCATTAACCTAGCCGCTGGCATTTATTATTGACATTTATGTCTTTTATTAAAAGGATAAATTGATCTCGAACGAAACATAATCATAATTATACTTTTTTAAGTAGCACTTGGAATGATTGTATCTGGGTATTTATAAATAAAATATTATATCAAATATTCATTTCTGCTCTCACCTGAAGAAATAGCATTCGTATTAAGAGGAACAGAAATAAAATATTTTAGAATATTATTTTTCAAACATTCAATTTAGTCTACTAGTTGAAAACACTATTATGGAAATATGGTAAAAAAAATGTAAAAAAAAAATCAGAAAAAAAACAACAAAAAACAAAAAGGTTTTAGATCTTTCACTTTTTATATGCCCGAAAGTATTTCGGGCATATTATGTTATACCCCCTGGCGTCCGTCTGTCCGTCCGTCCGTTAACAATTTGTTTTCCGGAGCATAACTTGAATTCCATTTGGCCCACAATATTCAAACTTCATAGGATGATTTCCAATATTAGGTGGGAGACCCTTATTAATTTTGGGGTCACAAGGTCAAAGGTCAAGGTCACTATTACCCTAAAACTGAAAATGGTTTCCGGAGTATAACTTAAGTTCAATTTGATCCACAGTATTCAAACTTCATAGGATGAGTGTCCATATTGGGTAGAAGACCCCTATTGATTTTGGGGGTCACAAGGTCAAAGGTCAAGGTTACTATTACCGTAAAACTGAAAATGGTTTCCGGAGCATAACTTAAGTTCCATTTGGCCCACAGTATTCAATCTTCATAGGATGATTGCCCATGTTGGGTACAAGACTTCTGTTGATTTTTTGGTCACAATGTCAAAGATCAAGGTCACTATAAGTTTAATACTGAAAATGGTTTCCGGAGCATAACTTAAGTTCCATTTGGTCCACAGTAGTCAAACTTCATAGGATGATTAAGCACATTAAAAATATCTGCACCGTGAAAAGTCACATAATTATTTTTCAACATATGCATGATTTGATGACGTCATTAATGACTGTATGCGGCAAGAATCAGTAAAAATTACTTAAAATCCATAAAGAGGTGAAATAAATCGAATTGTTTTTTAATATATAAAATATTTTATCTGTTGTTCGCGCTGTGACATAAATTCCGATCTCTTACGTGTAAAACAAACATATGTCATCAATACATGTTTTTGATAAAAGACATTTTTTAAAGTAGATCTTTAGGTTTCAATACAGTAAATTATTAAATTTTGAGAAAGAATGAAAACTAGTCAATATATTCAAGTACGTTTATTTGTTAGTTGATAATCTTCTTATAAATAATACACATTATTAGTTATTATTGTTGGTATTTAAACATATTATTGTTTAATGTCATTGCTGGTCATTTTACCCAAGGCAACTTTATTACTGAAATAATATTGCACGCCTCTGATTGGGCCAATTATAGGCCATATTTGCCGATCATTTTTATTTTGATCAAACATTGTTATGACAATAGCAAAAGCATACCAAATAAAATATGACCAGTGTTTTTCCGTACTAAGAAAAAATTCACGATACTGGTATTACGATGGTAACTCTTTATTTTCACTTATCTATCTTTTATTAAGAATTCTCAAAATCCACTGGCGAATAAATAAGATTCCTGACAAAAACTTGTAATTTTAGATAACTCTCTGATGCATTTTAATAGTGACGCTTATATTTTATTATTAAAAAACTAATATCAGGTATTTGAATAATTTCATATAGACAAACAGTAGGTTACACGTTTGAATTAATGTAAAAATAATGCACAACTGATATTTACAATAAGACCCAAAAAGACAAGTGGCTTAGATATTTTACATATTAAATAATCATATTTCTTTGGTGAATACTTTCAAATGGGTTCTTACCACATCATTAGAAAACTTGTTAAATAATGTACTTATAATTAATATTATAGTTACATTATGAAAACTACGTAAATTTTAGTTTAAAAAATCATGCTAGTAAATACACATGAATTGATAGTTGACTGAAATCCATCATGAACAATTATTGAATGACTTAGATTTAAACGAAGAGATGAAAAATATTGTTTGTGTATCAAATTGAATGTGCAGTTTTAGCAGCAGGTGTTTTGTCCTACATTAGAGTCTATATACAAATCATTGATTGAGTGTTTAATTATAGCAACACTCTTTATAGTATAAAATTATTGTATTAAGAATCCATGCAGTTCTTTTCCAATTGATATTTCTTCCGATGATTAATCTTTATTGATGTTAAGCATAATAGAAAATGTTAAGCAGATGCACGAAAATAAACGAGCAGATAAATGGTTTAATTTATAAATATGATGAAATTGTAAAGAGAAATAGTAGCTGCCATATCCTTTGAATGATTTATCATTTCAAAATTGTATAGTTATAATGTACTATTTATGTCCCTTGAATGATTTATTATTTGTTAGTTTAAAGAGCGTTATACTTACTTTCATGCCTCTTGAAATAGTTATCATGTATTATTGTATAGTTATAATGTACTATTTATGCCCTTCGAATGATTTATTATTTGTTAGTTTAAAGGGTGTTAAACTTTCTTTTTATGTCTCTTGAAATAGTTATCATTGCCTAGTTTACAAAGTAACGTTCTTACCCCCTTTATTTAACCCAACTGACCGGCTTTCATTGAATACTTAAACTAGTCTTACCAATTTCACAGCTAGTGACAAACTACTAATCCTACATGATTTTTAAGGGGCGTCCGTGGCCGAGTGGTTAAGGTCGTGGACTTCAAACCACTTGCTACTCACCGCTGTGGGTTCGAATCCTGACAGGGACTTTGGATTCTTTCGTGTGAGGAAGCTATCCAGCTAGCTTACGGAACGTCGGTGGTACTACTCAGGTGCCCGTTCGTGCCTGAAATAATGCACGGAAGGGCACTTGAGGTCTTCCTCCACCAGTAAAGCTGGAACGTCGCGATA